CTCTCTGAACCTTGCTATCCTCCTCATCTGTAAAATGGAGCTAAAATCTATCCTATGTTACTTGTCCAGGTGATACTACATGCATATCGATGTGAAGAATTCCAGTTTTATTCATTTTAACATTTATTTTATTTTATATGTATAGGTGTTTTGCCTGCATGTATGTCTGTGTACCACTTGCATGCCTGGTGCCTGAGGAATGGAGAAAAGGGCGTCTGATCCTCTTGGAATTGGATTTGTAGACTGTTGTGTGATGCTGTGTGAGTGCCAGGAATCAAACCTGGGTTCTTTGCAAGAGCCACAAGTGCTCTTAAACACTGACTTATTTCTCCACCCCACATTTTATTCTTTTCAAAGACTATTTATTTAATTTCAATTCTTATTATGTGTATGAGTAGTTTGTCTCCAAGTATGTGTGTGTACATACTTGCATGCCTGGTAAGGATCAGAAGAGGGTGTTGGATCACCTGGAATGTGAGTTACAGACAGTTGTGGGTGCTGGGAACTTGTCCTCTGCAAACACAATAAGTGCTCTTAACCACTGAGCAATCCAGCCACCCAATTTTATTTTTCAAGTAATATAAAAAATATATATAAGCCCCCAATTGCTGTGAAGTGGAGGGGTCAATAGAGACTGTACCATCCAAAGTTCCTGACCAGCACTGTAAGTCTTTTGGGGAAGGGTATCTGATTCGCTTTAGGAGACAGGACTCTATACTCCCCCTGGAGGCCATCATCTTGCCAATCTGTAGGTGATGTTTCTGGCTTGGAGATCTAGAGCTTCAATAATGTTGAAATTTCCAGGTGTGGTGGTGCATGCCTTTAACCCCAGCACTTGGGAGGCAGAGGCAGGCAGATCTCTGAGTTCAAGTCTAGCCTGTTCTACAGAGCCAGTTCTAGGACAGCCAGGTCTACACAGAGAAAACCTGTCTCAAACAAACACTGACGGACTTTATGGTTGCTGATCTTGGAGACCACCCCCTATGTCTAGAACACCAGTCTTCGACCCCTACCCTGAAGTCAGATCAGATCAGAGAGCCCCTACCTGCTCTTGGGCCAAAGCAGGACAACTTTACAGGACTAGCAAATCTCTGAAGTCAGCCCAGCTGTCTAGCTATCCATGAATGAAATGTCTTTATCTAGGGAACTGGAAGAAGAAAGTGAGACAGTGTCAGACATGTAGGGGAGCCAGGTGGATAAAATGACAGATGATATACTTCCCAAGGTTAATCAAAATCAGAAACTAGAATAGCAACCCCTGGTCAACATCTGACCAGCAGAGAGATTCTACCAATGGTTCATCAGCTCTTCTTGGGCATAGGGTCCTGGGTATGACTATTTGTCTGTCCTTCCATCCACCCATCTGTTTATCTTCTGCAAACTGCCTGCTGAGGCCTAGCCAGAAACAAGCCCTATCTTTGGCACAAAGCCACATGCTAAGATGAATCAGTTTGGAACTACTGGAGCCAGTGGGTGGAAGACAGAAGACATACCAGGAGGAGGGTACAGCAAGGACCAGGGCTGGTGGATGGGGAAATGTTGGGCCAAAGCAGGTATTCAGGTACCTTCACAACAAGGGGAGAGCCTAAATGCCCAGTAGGTGCATTGATGACTATGGAGAGGCAAAGAGAGGAAGCACAAACAGCAGGCTTTAGAAAGATAAGCAGAAAGTCCCTGTAGGAGGGAGGCTACAGAGAATAAGAGGAGGCTGGGAGGCAGGACTTCATACTTGATTCCACCATAATGTCTTCATTGGGCCTAGCTTCATCCCAGCCCACTGACTGATGCCACTCCTTCCTACATCTACTTCAGGGCTCTAATTGCACTTGGGCCAAGGGTTTGGAAATTGCCAATCCTATGCCTATCCCTCACATCTATTCCAAGGTGCCCAGACCTTCATATCCACAGGATTCCCTAGTCCTCATAGCATCTGAGACAAACTGGGACTAAATTCCTGGTGCTTTAGGTAGAAGATTTTGGGTGAGTCATCCCACTGTTCCCTACCTCAGGGACTATGACCCCTACATAGTGTAAGCACTGTGGCTTGTGGAGGTGGCTATATCACAGGAAGGACCTAAAAGCTTGACCCAGCCCCCACGATAGCTTCTGGAAAACAGGCCAAACTTCAGTTCTAGACACTTGCTGGTCACGCAACATTCTTTTCCACCCCAGGGGACTTGGGGTCCCAAAACCCAGGTCCTCAGTGATGGCACTGACTGTTCAGGTACGAGCCTGGGGTGGAGGAAGAAATGTGAAGTCCTGTCGTCCATAACGTGGATGCTAATCTCTTTTCCCAGAGTTCATACACGTGCTGGCAGAAAGGAAAGAGGGTGGTGGGGACTCAGCCGATAAGAGATGAGGAATAGGCTTATCTCTTTTTGACCTCCTACCTCGACTTGGGACTTCACCGGTCAGCAGGCAGGTGGGGGCAGGGCAGGCCCAGCCTCTCCTGCACTGTTG